GATCAAATTATGTAATTTTTTTGCAATTTTGTAATTTTTTATTTTGTATTTTTTTTTCATTTTTTATTATAATTTTTTTTTTCTTTAATTTTTTTTAATTAAATGAATATAGTTTAACATTAATATAATCTTGAATAGGTTCTTCATTTAGATGGAATACAAGCCAGAATGCCCAAAATAAGTATATACAACAACGGTAATGTACCGTATGAATTATTAATTAGAAAAAATACATTAATCAATAATTTGGGAAAATATAATCCAAAAGTTGTATCACTTAATCCGCAAAAAATTTTATTAAGTGAAGCTATAAATACTTCTGAATGTATTAGTAAGTTTTATGTGCACTTATTATTTTAAACGGTAAATATTTACTTTAGATGACACAACACATAAAAATTTTATTTTGACATATATTGTAGATGATACATTCCTAAGTAATACCATTTGAATTTGCAGCGATCTCTCTTCCTGAGATATGCGATTTCGAACTTACATACTTATAACATATTTTCATTATATCCTAAACATGTTTATATTTTTTGTTTAAAACATTACCGAGGTCATCTTTCCTCATGGTTCCGCATGGGTTTGTCACTTTCTATGCGAAGCGAGGTTTATCCCACACCACCCCTGAGTCAACGCGAAATGAGATCTGTATTGTTTGGTTCCACATGAGTTTACAACTTTCAATGAGAAGCGAGATCCACCTCACACCACACCTGAGTCAGCACAAAGAAGGTCTACTTATTATTGTATATTCCATATGTTTGTAACTTTCCATGCGAAACAAGGAACTATAGATCTCGTTTCACACTGACTCTGGGATTGTGTAGAGTAGACCTCGTTTCGCATAAAAAATTGCAAACCCATATGTAACTATACAATAATAGACCTCGTTTCGTGCTGACTCCGGCGTGGTATAGGATGAAGGAATTGGTAGTTAAGGTAAATTCTTAAAAAAATATAAATACTCAAGTAAAATATAACACAAAATCATGACGAACAAATATAAACAAAAAATATAAAAGCATAAATAGAATATAACAAAAAAATGATACAAGTAATTTTTTTATTTTAATTCGTATATCTCTTGAACGAAGTGAGACCACCATAAAATTCAAATAATGTTTTAGAAATGTATCTTCTACAATATATGTCAAAATAAAAATTTTTCGTACTGTAACTTAAAGTAAAAATTATTTTTTAATCTTTAAAATTATTTAATATATTTTTAACATTATATATCTCAGTTCTAGAAGGATATATAAACAAATTTTGCATTGGTAATGAACAATACATTAAATAAAATAATAGGTTGTGGTTCAATTACTGATGGCAAATTTAAATTAGAAGTTAGTATTTTAAATTTTGATGATGAAGAATATTTAAATTTAAATTTAAATAAAGGTGACAAAATGGAAATAATCGAAACTATGCAACGTTCAGATAAAAATATTTATAATAATTATATAAAATCTATTATCTATAAATATGTTTTCTTTTTTAGAATTAATTTTTTTTATAAATATAAATTTTTTTCGAACTTCAATTTTTTTTAATTTTATAATTTAAAATTTTTTTAATAATTTTATAATGTTATTTTTTCTTAAATTAAAAAAATTTTTTTCTATATAAGATATTTTCCTCTTTTTAATATTAATTTAATATATCAAAGAAAACAAATTAATTTTTCCGTTAGTTCTCTTTACCTATTTAATTTTTATATTATTATTATTGGAACTTTATACAGTTATTAATTTTAATTATTTAATTTTATAAAGCAAAGTTTATAAAGCAAATTAAATTAAAAATAAATTAATTAGATTAAATATCATTGAATAATTTTTAATGCAAACACTTCGACAAAACAGATCTTTATTAAATTTAATTATTAAGTACGAAATAATTTACTTCTTAAATTTAAATAAGTAATAAATTAAAATTTAATTAATTTGAATCAATAATAAATTAAAATATAATTAATTTAAATAAATAATAAATTAAAATTTAATTAATTTAAATTTATTTGATCTTTTGCATTATTTTTTTTCTTATAAATATAGAATATCATTTTTTACAATAATCATTTATACATTTTGTTTACATCTAATATTTTGTCTAAATATTTATGCTTTGTTTCGAATATATTTATTCCTTAAATTAAATTTAATTTCTTAAAATATTATCTTTTAAATTATTAGCATGCTAAAATTTCTTATAAAAAATCCAGTACGAAATAATTTATTTTCCTTGATATTATAGTTATTTTAAGTCAATTTTTAATTATTTGTTTTATGATTTTTACATATTGTAACTTTTTTTTCCTTATTTTTGTTTTATATTGAATTATACAATTTATTAATTAATATATTAATTTTATAGCTGTTCCCCCATATTTAGTTGTTAATAATATCAAAAAGTTGGAAAAATGCCGTTAAAAGAATTGATAAAAGCTGTTGAAATACCTTTGAAAAGAAAAGCAGAAGATACTCAGGTAAATAGTACCACAACGCCAAATAAGAGTAAATGAAAAAACGAGTATGTTCCCCAAAAACATAAAATTAAAAAATTATATATAGAAATAACTTTTTTGAACTAACGTAATTTTTCACTTAAAAGAATAAAAATAACCATAATAAATCATTCCGAACAAAAATTTCAGAATTATATAATACTCCATAAAATATTTACATTAAAATTGTTAAATTAATTAAATAGTTATCTTACTTCCATTTTTGTTGCAAAACTAAATAATTCCGATATTTTCAATTGTGTTTATAATGCTTAATTATACTTTTTCTTGCAAAAATATAATTTCTTAAAGAAATTTATATATATACAATTATTTATAATCCTATATATATATTCTAAAGTAAGGAGTTTTAATAATTTTAAAATTGTTGATTTTTTATATATTTTTATATAATTATCCATGTTTATTTTTATGATTCTTTTTCTTTAATTAGTCTCCATTTACTATATTGCTTTAAACTTCTTGTGTTCTCTTTTCTTTAATTAATAAACATTTTCTATATATTAACAAACAATATTTTTTTCAGATGCAGAATAAAGGAAATTCAATATAAATTTTATAATTAAACAGTTATTACTAATTGAAAATTTTAATAATTATGTATTTATCATTTGCAAGTTTCAACAAAAAATTTAATTACATTTATTAATTGCAAGTTTCATTAAGTTCAAGAAAAATTCTTTCCTTTAATTTCATGTTCTATTATATTATTGCTATTTTATGTTAATTTAATGTTATTAATATATTTTTAATGAAATAATCTTCTCTTTAAAATTTGTTATCTAGCCTGATTATTGCTTTATTATTAATATTTATTATTATTATTTATACATTATTTCATATGTTATTATTATTTTTATACGTTTTATGAGGAAATAACAATTATTCAATGTTGTTTAAAATATAGAAAAAATTATTGACAATTTATACTTAAAATAAAGAAGATGACTTTAAAATTTCTAAAATTATTTTATTATTTATTTTAATTAAAAAATTTTTTTTTAAATTTTATTTTGTTTATTTTAATGTTTTAAATATTCCTCTACATATATATATACATACACACACCCACACAAACATACTTTTCTTAAGTTTCCTCGCTTCTCTCTGTCTCATACACACACACACACACACACACACACACACACTCACACACACACACACACACACACACACACACACACACACACACACTCTCTCTCTCTCTCTCTCTCTCCTTTTCTCTCTCTTTGTTCCTCACTCTCTCTCTCTCTCTCATTTGCTTACTCGAAGTTATTATTACTCTTACTAAAATTATTATTTCCTTGTTATTGTTATATATTTTCACTTTAATTATTTTTTTATAGTACCGTCTTTTTTTTTAGAGAGGGGAAAATGTATTTTATGCATACTTACCGAGCGATACTTACCGAGTGAGTTATGTGGGACTCGAGTACCAAGTCGAATTACCAACTCAGTACTCCCTACCCATTAAAAACCCCTCTCTTTCGCTAATTTTCTCTAATACTGTTTATTTGACATCCTGAAATTTGTTTTCACACAACACCAAAGAATAGTTATTATTACCTTGTTCGATGTATTGCTGTAATTTTTTGAGAAATAAATTTTCCAATAGATCGTACTTTCACTCAAATTGAAGAAAGAAATTGTTTTCTTTTATAAACTGTATTCTTTTATAAACTTCAACATAATCACATTCATTCACTCACTCGATAAGACGAGAAATTTACCAATGACTCTATCACTAATCACTATTAATCACTATCGAATAATCATTGTTAGCAATTAAAAATCACTCGATTAAAGAAAGACACAATGTTATTACACGAAGTGACGACGCGACAACGCGACGATATTTACCCAGCGACAGCAAACCATTTATGGTTATGCTAGGTTGCGGTAGGTTAAGGTATTAACAGCGCTGTCGAACATGAACATGTGCTTGAATGAAGACGCAACAATTTATCGTATAATATTATTATCATATCATATTTATACATCGTATATTTGTTTTAAAATTAATTAGAATAAATAAATGTTTAATACTTTCACTGTTAATGTTAAATATTATTTATTATTAATATTAAATATTATTATTAAATATTCTTAAATATTATTATTAACATTAAATATTTATTTATTATTATTAAATAGTATTATTAATATTAAATATTTATTTATTATTATTAAATATTATTATTAATATTAAATATATTTATTTATTATTATTAAATATTTATTAAACTGTTATCTGACTAAAAAGCAATAATAATATGAAAATAATATGAAAAAATATTAAATTCTGACTTTTCCATCTTGATTTTTTCTTATGGTTTTCAAAACGTAAGAAAATGTTCCAAATGTTCAAAAATATTGGTCGCTCTGAAAAGAGCGGATTGTTTCTGATCGCTCTAAAAAGGGCGGATTAATTTAGAAATCATAGATGCTCGAAATGGCTCCCATCCTAAATTAGAGTGTCATCCACATCCATGTCATCTACGCCATCATCCACATCCACGACATTATCCACATCCACGACATCATCCACATCCGCGACATTATCCACATCCACGCCATCATCCACATCCACGCCACCATCCACATCATCGTCATCATCCACATTATCATCATCATCCACATCCACGCCATCATCCATATCCACGTCATCATCCACATCCACGCCATCATCCACATCCACGTCATCATTCACATCCGCGTCATCATCCACATCCGCGCCACCATCCACATCCGCGCCATCATCCACATCCGCGCCATCATCCACATCCGCGCCATCATCCACATCCACGCCATCCATGCAAATCATATCGAGCAGTGTCATTACCTTGACCTGTCCATCGAAGAATTTGGAGATTATTTAACGTTGATAAATTTTGATAGATTGATTCCCAGCGCTGAATTGTTTGCGAGGGAATGACATCATCCCAGTTTAATTTTATCGCCACAATTGTTGCATGAATACTTCAGCGTTGATTGTCACGGGTGTGAACCTTCTTAATTGGATCGAATGATTTGGCGATCGTTGACAATATCTTTCTCTTTGTGTTAGGAAGTGATGGTGGGAGAGACATTCAAAATAGAAACGTGTCGCAAGCAAGGTTCCATGACAATCCCAGAACACTGAAATTTTCCTCGAGAGTTAGCAATCTATTTCCTGCGAGTCCATGACATTCTTCAGGAATATCGGATAGAAGAGTGGAGCTGTTGCTTGCCCATTTACGTCGATTAAATCCGCCGCGAGATAAAAGAGAGCAAAGTTGTTCGCGCGATTGGCGTAGCAACGGAATGTCGTTGGCTCTGAACAGAACATCATCCACGTAAATGATGTGGATGATGATGACGTGGATGTGGATGATGGCGTGGATGATGACGCGGGTGTGGATGATGGCGTGGATATGGATGATGACGTGAATGTGTATGATGGCGTGGATATGGATGATGTCGTGGATATCGATGATGGCGTGGATGTGGATGATGACGTGGATGTGGATGATCGCGTGGATGTGGATGATGATGTGGATGTGAATGATGACGATGATGTGGATGATATCGCGGATGTGGATGATGTCGTAGATGTGGATGTGGATGATGACGTGGATGTGGATGATGGCGTGGATGTGGATGATTGGAAAATGAATGTTTTACGAAATATTTTTATTAAAATTTTGTCAATTTCGAGCTTTATAACTCAAAAAGTACTTAACGAAAAAACATTTGATTATAGTGTTTTGGAAAGTTCTCGAGGTCAGCTACAAGAATATGTAATAAAAAATAAGGGGTCCCGTTTAAAAAAATTGAGGTAACCTCCACGTGACCTTCAAATAACTTCAAGGTCAAATCGATGGTACCATCTTATGTCCTCCTCGAAACCATATAAAACATGTCAACCATTTTTCTCTAAAATAAAAAATGAGATATTTGGGGTGGACATTTAAAATGGAACACCCTGTATATGACAGTAGCGCAACTCTGGCAATTTCAGCGTGGGTAAAAATAAACTGCGCATGCGCGGACTTAATAGGTAACCAATCACGGCAGAAACCTTCTGTCTCGTTTGCTCTCTCTTTTTGTCTCTCTTTCTAACCTATTACACACTATACAGGGCGAGATATCTGACATCGAAACATATACTATATTGGGTGACTCATTTGAAATATACAATTTCAGTTCAATCAGTTCAATTATTCAGTTCAATTAGTTATAAGGCTTGCAATAATTTTTTAATTTTACATAAATTGCAAAATATCTTGTAAAATATTCATTTTTCGATTAATCTGACCTTAATACATTTATGCACAAAATAATGAAGCGATTGGTGTAAAGAAAACACATAATTGTTTCGGAGAAAAACTATATAATTTGCAATTAACAATTACATATTTTTTTTTTAAATAACTATGTTTTTTTCTACACCAATCGATTTCTCACATTATTTGATGCATAAATGTATTAAGGTAAGATAATCAAAAAATGAATATTTTATGGTGTATGTAAAATTAAGATATTATTTTAAGCCTCATAACTCGAAAAGTACTCAATGAAAAAATACTTTATTATAGTGTTTTGGAAAGCTATTGAGGAAAGTAATTTACATAGACAAGTAAGAATGTAATTTACAATTAACAATTCCATATTTTTTCTTCGAAACAACTGTATGTTTTCTTTACACCAATTGATTCCTCTCATTATTTTGTACATAAAAATATTAAGGTAAAATAATCCAAAAATGAATTTTTTACTAGATATTTTATGGTTTATGTAAAATTAAAAAATTACTTCAAGCCTCGTAACTTGAAAAGTATTCAATGAAGAAATACTTTATTATAGTGTTTTGGAAAGCTCTCGAGGTAAGCTACAAAAATATGCAATAAAAAATAGGGGGTTCCATTTAAAAAATTCAAGTTGACTTTGCCCTAAGCTTGGCGACATCACTCAATGTCAAATGGATGTTACAGTTAAATACATCTTTTTAATCCTTACAACTTTTGTCTAAATCATTTTGTTCTAAAATGCATTCTATACGAGATATTCGACTGTGTCCAGACTTTTGGTCCACCCTGTATATACAGGGTGACCCATTTTAACTTAGGCAGCCAAATAACTCGAAAACAGCACTCTTTAGAAAGAAATGTTTCAAACAAAAATTGTAGGGTGTGAAGGGGGACATAAGATGGTAGCATTGGTTTGACCTTGGAAAGTCATTTGAAGGTCACATAAAAGTCACCTTCAATTTCTTAAATTGAACCCACCATTTTTCATTACATATTCTTGTAGCTTATCTCGAGAGCTTTCCAAAACACTACAGACAAATGTTTTTTCATTAAGTACTTTTTGAGTTATAAGACTTCAAAGTTTGCAGTACTTCGATATAAAATGCAAAATATCTCGTAAAATATTTAGTTTTCGGTAGTCTTACCCTAATACTTTTATGCACAGAATAATGAGACAAAACTATTGGTGCAAAGAAAACGCATGATTGTTTATAACAAAAAGTGCATTGCAAATTACACATTTTTTATTATAAACAATCATGCGTTTTCTTTGCACCAATAGTTTTGTCTCATTATTCTGTGCATAAAAGTATTAGGGTAAGACTACCGAAAACTAAATATTTTACGAGATATTTTGCATTTTATATCGATGTACTGCAAACTTTGAAGCCTTATAACTCAAAAAGTACTTAATGAAAAAACATTTGTCTGTAGTGTTTTGGAAAGCTCTCGAGATAAGCTACAAGAATATGTAATGAAAAATAGTGGGTTCAATTTAAGAAATTGAAGGTGACTTTTATGTGACCTTCAAATGACTTTCCAAGGTCAAACCAATGCTACCATCTTATGTCCCCCTTCACACCCTACAATTTTTGTTTGAAACATTTCTTTCTGAAGAGTGCTGTTTTCGAGTTATTTGGCTGCCTAAGTTAAAATGGGTCACCCTGTATACAGGGTGTCCCATTTTAATGCCCCACCCCAAATAACTTTCTTATTTTTAATTTTAGAAAAAGATGTTTCAGACAAAAGTTGTATGGTTTCGAGGGGGACCATTTCCATTGGTGCAAAGAAAACATACAGTTGTTTTTAAGAAAAAAATATGTAATTTGCAATTAACAATTACATATTTTGTCTTAAAAACAACTGTGTGTTTTCTTTACACCATTGATTCCTCTCATTATTTTGTACATAAAAGTATTAAGGTAAGATAATCAAAAAATGAATATTTTACAAGATATTTTATGGTTTATGTAAAATTAAGAAATGATTTCAAGCCTCATTACTCGAAACGTACTTGATGAAAAAATGTTTATTTATAGTGTTTTGGAAAGCTCTCGAGATAAGCTACAAGAATATGCAAAAATATATAGGGTGTTCCATTTAAGAAATTGAAAATGATCTTCACGTAACCTTCATGTGACTCTTCAAGATCAAATTAATGGTACCATCTTATGTCCCCCTCGAAACCATACAACTTTTGTCTGAAACATCTTTTTCTAAAATTAAAAATAAGAAAGTTATTTGGGGTGGGGCATTAAAATGGGACACCCTGTATATATATATACAGGGTATCTGCTAAACATGCGGCAAAAATTCAGGGGGTGATTCATTGGGTTATTTTAAGACTTTTTTGTTATCTGATGATTTTCGAAAAAATGCTTTGTTTCGAAAATAAAAGCAATAAAAATTTTTTGACCAATTTTTTTTTTTTTCTTGTAATTTTCAATAATTTTGTTAAAAAACCTGTATCGCCTGTTATCTATGGAATAAAAAATTGGTCAAAAAACTTTTATTGCTTTTATTTTCGAAACAAAGCATTTTTTCGAAAATCATCAGATAACAAAAAAGTCTTAAAATAACCCAATAAATCACCCCCTGAATTTTTGCCGCATGTTTAGCAGACACCCTGTATATATATATATATATATATATATATATATATATATATACTATTCTAGGTGGGACATATATATATATATATATATATATATATATATATATACAGGGATATATATATATATACAGGGTGTCCCACCTAGAAGTGGCCACCCCCTTTTATCTTTTAAACTAAAAGAGATAGACCATAACAAATATATATGAAATTAAATGGCTTTAACTGAACTTTATTGTGAGTATAGTGGATGATTACAAAATTTATCTGTATTAAAGAACGGAGAGACATGTATAATTTTTTTATAATAATGTAGATATTTTGATATAATAAAAGTTGTAGCGCTGTTTGAAACGAATATATCGGTGTATGATTTAATGTAAATATTTTACATATTATACGAGATTTTCCGGCTTGAAATATCGCGGGCGACATCTACCATTTCATTTTCGGCCCTGCGATATAGCCAACTTCTGACTCGTGCATTAGAGGTTGACATATGTCGTGTTGTCATTTAATCATGATACTCAGTCTACTACATTATTATAAAAAAATTATACATATTTCTCCATTCTTTAATACAGATAAATTTTGTAATCAACCATTATACTCACAATAAAGTTCAGTTAAAACCATTTAATTCCATATATATTTGTAATGGTCTATCTCTTTTAGTTTAAAAGATAAAAGAGGGTGGCCACTTCTAGGTGGGACACCCTGTATATATATATATATATATATATATATATATATATATATGTGTGTATATAAATAACTTACAATATCAATTTTTTTTTTATCAATGTTCAGAAATTCTAAAGTTAAATATAAATTTCCTTATATACATAATTTTTTACGTATCTCTTGTTTCGTTGATTACCAAGATAAACTTTTAATACTTGCCAAGACGAACTCGCGAAAACGCAACATAAAGTTGCC